TACCGAAACTTTGGAAAAATCTACTTCAGCAAACGGACAAACTGGCTACGGTTGTTTACCTGCTGGCAGGTGGCGCAGTAAATGGTGAGCTCGGAGTTTGTGTGACGGGCGCAGTAGGTGGGCTGCGGGGCGAGAGGCTCGAGGTAATGTCCGGAGGTGGCCTTAGTGCGGCCGTGTGCCTTGCCGCACGCCGCGCACACGCTCACCAGGCACTGGCTGCATCGACTCTCTGCCTGATGATAAACAAATGTGCAACGATCTAGTAACCTAATACTCTTCCATGAAGAATATAAACTCTTTCCTCAAAGAAATACATTAAGACAGGATCTTATTATTTATTCTATGGCATGGTCAGCTATAAAAGATATTTTTTAGAGTTAAGTGCACCTGTACTTCAGAGCATTTCTATTGTAATGATACTAACATTGTATTGTAAGCTTAAACAAATAAAGAAATCGTTTGGTAGATAACTTTTCGATGACGAAAAAAACTCAACTTCAAGAACACATTTATACACCTTTTATTAGATTAAACGTAGACTTGACCTTGACTGACCAAAACAAAGAACAAACCATCGATAACAGACAATTTTCTAATTTTAACACGCCGAAACGGATGACAACTCGATAACCAAACAATAACGATCCGAGAACGACCAACCGATTTTTTTTTGTGACTGATTGCCACTGTTTGCCTTGAGGCATTTACAGCTTCACCGGGCTTGGGGTGGCCGAGCGCAGATGGCACTTAGCCTAAACCTCGTTTAAGGAACCAAAGCGACTGAACCGAGATTACTTATAATTGCGAAGCAAAATCTTAACATTGTGATCGAAAACAAGAACATATTGGTCCAGCGCCATCTGTTGATACGCAGCAGAAACGGCACCAACGGTAAACATAAAGAGAAAAATAGTCTCGGTACTTATTTTAAAATTAAAATACGTGATGCGACAGGACGCAAAGCATAGTTTATACAAACACAAAGGGCCAACATAAAAGGTAAATGTGGCGTTGTATTACTAATTGAATTCTTCTGCATTAGATCGTAGCCGTGGAATCGACACGCACGAATTGCACACCACATGTGTAACACAACTCTCACGCATGTCATGTCGACATTCTAATAAACTGTTTTTAATTTCAAAGCACAGATAAATGACAGCAATACTAATTAGTACTTCGTAATTAAAAGTCTGTTTGAGTTTTTACGATAAAAACAAAAGAATCACAATCGCATAAGATTGATGATTTACTTTATGTTGCCATTTTTCTTTCGTAATTTTTTTAAAATGTCAGTGACAAAATATGTCAAAATTTGTACGAAATTGTTGGTGTGCTTTACGGCCGGTAGGGGCGCTGTACAAAATTGAATACAAATTTTGTTATTTGTGCTATGTGTCTTACTACAACGCACCTTATTGTCAGCATCGCACATGTCACACAGCACCGTGACGTCATCCTCTCTGTCGGCGAGACTCATCTTGCGCAGTAGCACGTAGTTGAGCGGCAGGTCCGACACGCCGGCAGGAGGCAGCTGTGTCTCGTGCCCGCATGTCGGACACACCAACAACTGCACACTTCTACCTGACACCTGAACCGAAAATTAATAATATTACGTGTATTGTAGTTAAAATTCAGTCGTATATGAAATATCACACTATCATTTATCATTTCAATCTATCACAAAAAAGTAACGTTACATATCAAACATGCGGCCATTTCATTATTTAATTTTATTTATTAATATTCATCAATCAATTATATTGTAACGTACATTGTAATGTGAGAAAAAGTATTTTTTTTTTCATTCATTAAAATTTTAAGTCTACTTATATTTAATGGTCACTTTTATCTTCTTTTACCTTTTTAATGAATATGCCGTATTTCTGCGGCTTGTCGTCAAGACTTCCCTCCGAGTTGGAGTTGCGAGCGTCGCTCTCGTAGCCCGAGCCCGCCGAGCCTGCGGAACCAGCGC